ATGTCCTTACTGCTAACTGTTAGCCTTCCCAGCACCCAGCTCTTTCCCTCCACCCCATGCATCTTCTTATAGACTATAATGGTCACACATCTGTGTGTGAAATGTGCTCATTTTGACATTCCTCTGCTGCTCTGAGCTGTTGAGGCCTTTGTTAGGTAAAACACTGTTGTCAAGCCTAACAAGCAGGTCATGCAATTTGCTGGACACTGCAGCAGAGAATAGCCCTGCTATTCTGCATCTAACAATGCTTGGTTCAATATCGAAATACATATGTATTTTTTTTCTTTGTTCAGCCCTGATACTTTCAATATTTTGAAGAAATGCATATTTTGCATTAAAAAAAAATCTGAAATGGGCTTGACATCACAGCACACTGTCTGTTTTATTCTTTTTTGTTAGATATATTGCAGTGGGAGAGGGGAAAAGAGACTTCAGCTGTCCTTTTCTAAGCTAAATTCATTTTCTATGTTGTACTAAAGGCACAAAGAAGAGATGCATCGTGCCACACCATATTCTAGCAGATTATTTGGTCTGCTTTCAAAGCAATTCAAATTAAGGCCACTTTAGTAGAAGTGGTGTTTGCACAAGATGGCAACAACAGAAAATGTCCCTTTGAGGCAGTGACTTTAAAAACATCTTAAAGATCAGGTTCATTTAGCAGCAATCAGGAGAATAGAAACCACTGGGTATGTTACTATGGCTGTTGAACAAAATTGTCTTCTTTTTTTTTTTTTTTCCATCCTATTCCATAGCTTTCATCCCTTCCCCCTCTTCCCCAGAAGAAAAATCAACCACTACTGTGCAAGGTTTGAATGCTATTTGTGGCAATCTGTCACTTTGCATAGTGTTCCACCCTGATGTGAAAGCAGGATTTTCTTTTTTTTCTATCTGCAGAACATGCTTTTCCAGGCCAATTATATGTATAAACAATAGCATATGTGATTACCTTTCTGGGATGACAATTTTTCTCTGCATAACAACTGAAGTTAAGGCAATCGATCTTGCTGCCCCCCACCTTTAAATAAAGGCTATCCTAAATATCAAACAAAAAAAAAAAATCATTTTGGGATGAAATCAAGGCTTCTTATGTCAGCCTACTAAGGGACAGATACTATCACTGCAGCCTATAAATGTCAGCATGATCTTTTTTTTTCCAAGCAGTAATTACTTTACATTTTGTTTCAGATTGAGTCATTTCAACCTTTGCCTACAAGCCAGTTTTGGCACCCCACCTCCTTATACTGAAAACTTTTGCACTTTTGCTAGGGCGGATTTCCTTGGCAATTCTGTGGGTAAGAAAATACCATACCTGTCATGTCAAAACTGTTGGAGGGTGCGAAACGCTGACTTTCTTGTCTTGTTTCAGAGGGTATTTAGAGTGGTGGGCTGAAAGAGTGAGGGATGAAGGAGAGTTTTTTTTTCCTTTCCCCCATTGTGTCCATCTTACTGTGTATGATTACAGTCCTCAGTGGACAAGGAACATCCATACGTTCAGCTGGACAGATCTGGACAGATTTGCCTATGGACAGATCTGTCATTTTTTCTCTGTATCTCACAGTTTAACCTACCTCAAGGTTTCCACTATTGTTTTATATCAAGGACCTGATCCTACAAAGCAGCATGGCTAAGTTTGTGATTAGAATTCAGAAGAGACTAGGCTAACCTAGACCCCTTACCACTGAGTAAGGATGGTCCCATTCCTGGTCCTCTGTTCAGAGACCCAGGGGTGCTTTTTGCTTCCTCCAGTGAGAGCCATGCACGGCTAGAGCTGACACAGGCAACGGTGGCCCAGCAGCAGCCAGGAACTGTACCTGATGTAATTCAGGCTCATCAGAGCAGCCTCATCAATAAGCTGATATCAAAATACCAGTGCAGCACTACCCACCCATACATTTACAAAAACAACCTAAACTACATTTTGTACCTGGAGAAGAGAAGGGTATGATACTGGTGCTACAATGAAAGTCGCACAGCAGTATGTGTTTCTTTTTCCTTGTTGCAAATCGAATTCAAAAAAGGCAAAACCTGTTTATCAGCAACAACATATGCATGTATTTAAAAGAGTGTCTTGCATCCTTTCTCAATCAAGCTTAAGCAAGGAATTTTCTGAGTCTTTAGTATACACTTAATTCTCAGGAAATAGGGCCAAACTGAAGTGGATTTGTGCAAGTTCTTTTTGCACCTGACAACATTGTCATCAGTGTGCCTAACAAGGTAGTCCTAATGCAGACATAACTAAATGAAGGGTGTTTTAATGATGAACCCTTCATTCTCTTCCACGCCATATGCACTGGGAGACTGGCTGCATGAACACCCTTCATGTGTTATGTGCTTATAAAAACTAAAGAACAAAGGCAGGAATAGGGCCAAGAAGAAGCATACACAAAACATAAACTTAAAACCTAAGTAGTGCACATTTCCTTATGGCATATATACAGGCCTTTTATTAACTGGCACACACCTCAGTTTTCCCTTTATCTGTCAGAAAAGACACTGCACAGAAAGAAAAAAGTAGATGAACATGTTAAAAATTTCCTTTCTTTCCCTTCTTCTCTCCAGTTCCTTTGCTGAAGGGACAGTAAGCAGCAAACATACATAGCTACATGCGTTCTCCAGCCCAGGGACAGCATCAGCGTATTAACTGAACCTAATGCTGTGAACAGATTTCCAGAATTTATACCTGGTGATGATGTTAACAGAGGGGAATAAGAATTAGCAAAAGTCATTCAGTTTTTGGTCTGGTAATGGATAAAAGAGAAACAAAAATCACCTACAAAATGGAAATCACAAACAACTCTGCTGGGGAATACAAACAGAGCTTTGAAACCTTTCTTTCTTTTCTTTTCCAAAGACATGAACATAAACCATGAGCCAAAACAGGGGAAATATTAATCCTGACACCAGGATCTTTCTCTAATTCTCTTCCTTGCCAGTTTGAGTAGGTGGTTTTGGAGTTATCCCAAGTGCTGATTCCATCATTGCTTCAACAGTTAATGAGCTTTCTCTACCAAAAGAAAAAAAAAAAAAGGCAAACAAAAAAAAAATTTTCTTTGTCTTGAAGACAGTTCTGAGGTCCATGTTCACCTCTGAGTCTGTGCAAATAATATCTTTATAAGGTTTGAGCTGAGATCTGTTAATGGGAAGGAGAAATATGGTATACTGTGAGATGATGACAACACCCTAAGGTGGTGGTACTAGAAGCTGGTGTTACTTGGCATCTATCTTCATTTACATATACCTTCTTTCTATACCTCCTTTCCTAAGAGGATCTCAAAACACTTGCACAAATCAGAAGTCCTGGCCTTATTCTGGAATGGAAAAGTATTATCACACTTGTTTTAAGGTGAATACACTGAAATACAGGGAAAAAAATATCATTATCAACAATAACAAAAAATTGTTGCTAAAGTTGAAAATAGAACAGATCCGGACTACAGATAAACAGATCCCTACCTTTTCTGTTTCATACTGGTATGGGTAAAGAGTAATATCCAAAAGTCACTGAGTTATACTGTTCATATGTATTTAATCAGACCTATTTGCAGGATCAAGATACAGCTGTGAAGCCATCCTTCTCTACAAAAAGATGTAAAATATGTGATTATTTTATCTGGATTGCTCTTTCCTAGGAAATTTGGTCAGAGAGATAAATTAAAAGCTCTAAAAGATCTGAGAGGTTCAGGTTCTGAGACCTTTTTAATAGAAAGTTCTGTTTGGGAGCTTTGTATTCAATATTGTTCATTTTCCTTTGTGAAGATGTGATGGCTTTATCTCCCTTAATCTGCCCTCTAAAACTGTGAGTGGTTTTTTTAAGTAGTACTCTTCTTTTCCTGGTTACATTAGTATTATGAGGTTTTGTCCAATGAACAGAGCAAATACTGCTTCTCACTTGTTTTCATAGTTTCAGCTTCTGTAAAATGCCATGGATGACAGTAATACTGTTTTTCTGTAAGACACCAGGACTTTTACTATAAGGAAGCCCCCCCTAAGAAGCATAGACACCTTGCTACTTTTACTTCATCTCAGAGTATGTCCAATTCAGCAGTCACTGAATTCAATCTTATCTGTTCAGATATTGGGCTTTGACAAACTGCATAAACCTGTCATTGAGGGGAGGACATGTTGTAGTTACTAGTCAGAATGTTACAACTTTCCTCATTGTTTATTGGAGATGGGGTAAAGTAGCCCAAGCAGAGATAGAGAAGATGAAAGCAAGGTTAGTTAAACACTGAGCTACTTTGTGCTTAAAAAGAGTGATAGTGTTAGGCCAACAGTTCAAAGGTTCAGTGCAAATATTCTTTGACTGTTTGGTTTTTCAGTTGTAATACTGGTCAGTGGAGAGATAGCCAAACATCCATGTAAGACAAACTCAAATTTTTCAGAGGAACACCACACACATAAAAAGTGACTGCTCTTCCCTCACACACTGATACTTAAAAATTTAAACTTTTTTGACCACTATAAACATTATTTCTGATTTCCTTTACCTATGAGTTGCAGGTGGTTCATGTCTTCCCACGACCCTTTTATTCCACTTTTCTTATCAGTCATTACTTACACAGTAATTCAAATCCAATTTCAATATTGACTACTAGGTTGAAAGTTTTGTGTCAAATTCTGGCTCTCTAACATTTTCTGGTTCCATTAAGAACTTATGAAACATTAAGACTTAGGAAAAAGAAGGAAAAAAATATCTAGGGAGTGATGTTAGTGAGTCAATTATGCTTGTGTTGCATGGACCTCTAAGGTCACATTAAACTTGTATTGCTCCAAGTACTTAAAAAGGAACATTTCTATTAAAAATTAAAGCAGGTGAAGAGTGTATATAGTGCATAAGATAAAATTTATGCTTTCCATGATGGGAAAGCATAAATGGTTTTTCTTTCTATCTGGCAGCAGATTACACCTCTGTCCATCTGCACAGAGCATAATTTCCTTGCACAATTTCACCAGCATGACTAGGCCAGCACTAAATAACCTTCTTTGGGGCTGATCTTTACCTTTTTCTGCAGGAAAGCTGTGCTGAATCCCAGCAGTCACTTGGCCCCAGTATCCAGCCAGCTGGAAGGATGGTGCTGGGAGAAACTGCTTTCATGATGCTGTATGGTGGTGCTTTTCATCAAGTGCAAGGACAACCCTGGCCAGGTCAAGCTTAGAACAGGATACGTGATGGTATGAAGCCACAGGTGCAGTTGGAGTGACATAAGTGATGAATTTTTCCTCTAGGGTTGAGCATCACTGCCAGCTTGACATTAACAGGACAGTGAAGTGTTTCCAGTCAGCTCCTCGTGTTGCAGTTTCCTAGACATAGAGAGCAGATGTCTTGATCCTGTGTTTGTACAGCAATGAGCACAGAGGGATGCTGTCCTCTGGCTGCTGCGCAATGTCCCACTTCAAATATTTAAAGTAATGCATGAACACTCAGTACTGAGCTTGCCAGTATTGTAGAAAACTGTCCCTGACAATGGCCTACAGTCCATAATTAAAAACCTGTTCCACTGACGGCTTAAATTTCTGCTTTGGGGAGTAGCCAGGGAAAAGCTCCACTATATCAGCAGTTTGTCTCCCTTCTCTGTATTGCAGCTTTCTTTTGTAACACAGATACTTATGACCATTGAAAAAAGTGAGCTGGTGGGTGTATTTGTGTCTTCTGCTCTTGCAATCATTTTATGCCCTGCCCAGAGGTACCTTTAAAAAGAATATCCTTTTGCCTCTACTTTACATCCCTCCTGGTGAATGCTCTCTAGTGTGGTCTGAGCAATTTCTCTGGTGTTCTCTTCTGATCAGTCTTATTTTGATTACATGTGGGACTAAAAATTAAAACTGTTCAGGTTGATGATGTTCAGTGTATGGAAAGAATCTCATATTCTTCTATTTAGCAACATCGCTGAAGGTGATAATGGTATGTCATGATCTTGTGTGCAACTACTTGACAGATGGCTAGAAAAGTTAACTAATATTCTGATATCACTTGTAAGGAGAAATAATTGATTCTGTGAGGCTTGAAAAAATCACCCTGCTTTCCTTTCTACCTGGGTATTTATTAGGGTTTTCCCAAGTTGTTCTTGTATCATTAATCTCATCTGAAAACACTAGATTCACTGTTCTGAATCTGGAATTAAATTGATAATAAAGTGAAAAAAATCAAATTTATCTGAATTGTATATGTATGTACATTGAATGGTCTGGCTGATATTCTTGGGACAGGTCTACTTCCCCAAATTTTTGGACTACAATTCTGTTACCTGTGAGCCAAATGTTACTCTCACTTTTGGAAGTCCTTGTCTGACAGGCTGCACAACTGATTTTTTTGAGAGAAGTTCTGTATTAAAACTTTCTGTGTTCGCAGAAAGCAGAACCTTCCTTCTCCTGTGAAATTTCATGTCCTCAATGCATCTCATAACACCAGGCATTAAGAAAAATATATCAATATTGTAAGATGATACCAAGCACTTGGGTCTTTAGGTTTCAAAGATGGTATAACCTATGGATCTGAAGAGATTTGAGGTGTAGTACAAGTCAAATAAAGATCCAGGAGATTATGTTTTTTATTGTTTGAGTGGAAAGCTTGATAAGGTATACTGCATGATAAGGTTTGTCAAGTAAACAACCAGCAAATTTTTACTTTAAAATTATGAAGGAAGCAACGATTACAATTACTAACTCCCTTGTATGTCAGAAAAGGTAAGGTCTCTAGTATCAACCATCCTTTTTTCCTTCCTAAGAATTCACTCAGTGTCTCCTCTGTCCCTGGATGCCACTTTCAGTTTACAAAAGTAAGTCTGGAGTCTCCTTCAGATGCTGAAGTTGTGACTAATTTTACCAGTAAAGCAGGCTGGACCCCTTGGCAGAGTTTGCTCTGCCATCCCCCATGAGGCTTCCAGTCTTTTTATCCTTTGGTCCATTCCTCGTCAGGGGCAGGAGGCTCAAGATCTCACTGGTACCAGAAGCCATAAAGACTGGTCCTGTAACAGCAATAGCAAGGTAGAAATGAGTACAGCAGATGACACCAAAAAAGTAATTTTATTTAAGAAAATAGCCATTCATAGTTGGGCCTCTGTCACTTTAAATTTTAATGGTAATAGTACTGGAACTTTAAATTACAGCTTTCAGTGGCTTCACACTGAATCTCTCAATTACTCTTTGTAACTCCCTTCCAAGAGCATGTGTGCTGTGACATTGATTTTGCTGTTTAAATCAAAAATTACGTCTGTGTACACCATGCAGGGATCCTGCCTGTCTCCAATGCCAGCGACTGGGCAGACATACAAGGAGGTATCGGTCGTAGGTCTGAACCAATCCTGGTAGCCTCATGTAAAAAAATTGTACGTTCCTGGCACTGATACAGCATCCAGCTCACCCAGAGGGTGGGCTGGGGAATGCTTCTGCAGGTATAGCCTTTGGTGAAAGGACAGCCATCTCTGAAAGAGGCAAGACAACCCTGTGAGTTATTATTATTAAAATTAATATTACAATAGCTGTTGAGGTTGCCATTGCACAAAGATGCTGGAGCATCCAGAGATGGCAAGGTGTCTTGCAGTTGGGATGAAAATGGAGAGTGGATAAGTATTTTCCTTCAAAGAGAGTAAAACTATGTAGAGCGACCCAAAAGGATGTGGGAAAAAAATAAGGGTGGAGAAAGTTTTAGGTGTGTTACATTCTGGTGTAAATTAAGTCCATATTATGGATTTTGTTTCTGTTACTAAAAGCTCTGTTTTAATAATTAACCTGCCATGATGGTCCCTTCATCTGTAGCTTCAGTCCTGAGAGAGTGGACTTGTCCTAGAGACAAGCACAAAGCTGGCAAGGAAAATGCTCAGTTCCATGTGACCAGAAAATACACTTTTAAACCCTGGAATGGAAGAAGGTCTTAGAAATGATTGCTGTAAAACAGGTTTTTGTGAGTAACCAGCTTTGAAAATGTAGGGGACTGCTGTTAAGGAAAAGGCAAATTTTGTGGTGGTTGTACCCAACACTGATGGAAGCTAGAAGAGATTGAGCCTGCAGCTAACAATAAGTGGGAGACCACTTTGTCCTTGCAGTGACCCTGTCTAGATAACTAGAAATCTGCATACTGTAGCTTAAATCCAGCTGAGACTAGGCTCCTGCCTATTCCTACTTCTAGCCTGGATGAAAAACATGAGGATGAAGGTCACTTAAACTACTCTGTTCATGCAGTTCAGAGCTATCTGAATAATCCAAGCACTCATTTTAAACAAACAAAGTGACTGGCACTTTTTGGTTCTAAAGAAACCTCCCTGAGGTATGGGTGAACTATGAAGCCACTGTGTCCTGTAGATCGAGTGAGAAATGGCAGTACAGAGGAATGAATGCTTCATAAGGTAAACAGAAGTGCAAGAGATGGAAAATTTTTCACATTTTATTAAATCAGACTTTTACAGTAGTTGTTGAAAGCAAAAAACACTGAATTATATTTAGATAATAGTTCCATAAATAACGTGTGTTTTCACAGCAGTTACAAAGTCTGGAATTTATGTGCTAATTACAGACCCCAAATCATCTCTGCACAGATTTGCAATTAAAACTGAAATATTTTCATATACAATGTGAGCCCTGTATTCATAGCAACAGCTAAGATACATGCTGGTTACAGTTTGCTCAGTAAATATGAATATTTTATGTTTGAACACAATTGTTTCACTATTGTTTTCCTTACGTTTGGTATATTAAAAGCTGGAAGAGTTTAAAGCTGAGTGCCACATTGTGGATTATTATTCCTTTCAGAAAAAATATTCTGCATATAGTAAAGTATATGTTGCAGCAATCTAGGGGAATGACAATCATTGAAAGACATGTAGAAAGAAAAAATTCTGCATATGGTTACCTTCTTAATAAATATTGTAAAAATATATACTTTTAAAAACCCTGTAGTGCCAGCAAAGTAGAGGAAGAATACAAAATTAGGGAGAACATTGAATAATTCAGTAGCTTGTTATGTGATTAGGTCTGATTGGCCCACACTAAGATGCTGCTATAAAAATGATTTCCCATGGTAGCATTGGTCTTGGGGTGGGGGCTTATGATGTCCATAAAATGGGAGAACAAGGCTTACTGGAACTAATAATATCATGTTTGTGCAGAATGATTGATGGTCTTTAAAAAGGCCCAGATTGGTTTCATCTTTCTTTAGATTTTATCACTCACTCTTTCTTAGTCACGTGCAGTCACTAAGGCAAAGAGAGGTAACAAGTGTTTGATGTATAATACTTAAGCCACTTTTGTCAGAAACGCGTTTATTTTAAACTGCTCTTGTATATGATACTCACAAGATGTAGATGTTCTATATTTTTTCTCCAGCTGATAAGAACAGACAGTCCTGTGGCTGGATCAAGAGGTAAGCCAAGCTTGCATTAAAGCAACGGTGCCAAAAATTGCAGTAAAAATTAAACAGATCCTCCTTCCTTGCACTGGGACCATTTCTATTACTGATTAAATGGATATAGAGCTGCACAAGACTGACATCTTGGGAGAACCTCATATCCTTTATTATTTGCAGTATGCACGCACCTTTCAGAATGCTGCTTAAGCTTCTTGGAATACATTATCTGCTTCTGTTCACTTTCTGCTTTGCAATCTGCAGAGAGTCAGTAAAGCTTCTTTTATGTCAGAAGAAATTTTGGATGAATAGGGGAAAAAAAACACTTAATTTAACCAATTGAGGAAAAAAGGGGTCTTATCCACTTGTTTCTGAAAGCCTACACATCTCCTCAAATATGACAAATCAAGCCAGATATCTTAATCATTTGTTGTAACCATCCTTATCAGTAACTTATTCATAAAGATCGCAGATGTGTGAACTGAAAAATGTTTGGCAGAGTCCCAAAAGGCAAAGAAAGAGTATAAAAGGGTTGATCAAGTAGCAATGTACTGGAGTCATGCTCATTTGAAAAACTTTCCATTACCCTCATTTGTTCTGATAGGAAGAATAAAAGAAATAAATCTGCAGGACACCAGATTTCTGAACCCCATCACTGATACATACTCATATTTTTGTATGACCATATGCATACCTATGCCATACACCTGTATGCTTATACATGGCTGTGCATACGGACACGCAGATCCTCTCACTTCTGATGTTTTTGTCTCCTACAGAGTCTAATGGTTTTTTGTTTTGACAATTTAAACACTGACTCAACACTGTTTAACAAAATCAAGAGCAATTTTGGCAATTAATTTCTGCCATCAATAGTACTCTCAAATTGGGCAACTCCCCTTGGAACAGGGAGCAATAACAGCAGAGACTGTGAGAGTGAAAGAGCAAGAAAATTCATTAGACAATTCTGCAGCAGCTAAAAGTGGTGAGGGATGTCAGACCGTGTTCCTGTGCTTCAATACTAATGAGAGTCATTGCATATTCATAATCCTAAATACAGTCAGCTTCTGATAAAAACTTTTGTCATCGAAGCTTCACAGCAAGAGCAAAGCATTGCACACCTCATGTCGTGGCACTTCCACCAAGCTGGAGCAAGAACAAGATTGATTGTTTTCCAACATAGCCTGACAGGGAGCTAAGAGATACCGCCCCAAGGGTTCTTAAACTAAGCTTAGTTTGATTGCAAGGCTCCAAGTAATCAAAGAAACAAAAGAGAGGAGGAAAGTAGGGGGAAGAATGTTGTTTTGCCTTGCTGGTGGGTTTTTGTTTGTTTTTTTTTTAAATTACTTTGTGAAGATAAAGGTGACTCTAAAAATGTAGTTTTTCTTATTGAGACTTGAGAGTAATTATCTGTTAGGCATTTAAAACTGTTCATATCAATTTTTATCATGGAGAAAGGAGAACAGCAGGTGCTAGTAAACTTGTTCCCATGTTGTAGGAACAATGCTGCATGTCTTAATGGATACAAATCTCTGAAACTGTATGAAGTTTCACATCAATATGAATAGCAAAGATTAGTGAACTTAACCTGACAGATATTAAAATCAGCTCTGCCAAGTATTGTGCTCCCCAGAATTCACTTGTACGTTCCTTTTAATTTATTTTTTTTTGTCAGCTCCTTCTTCTTCTCATCATTGTTGCCATTTTTATTAATAATTTTGTGAAACTACCCATCTACTTTGCTGGCAGTCAAATCCTGAAGGTACACAGCTCTGCTAGCCTTTAACCTGTCTGCTAGGACAGCTGTTAGCATTCCCTGAAGTCAAAGAGAAACGTATGTTTCAGCACCCACTTTGAAAAATCCTTGAACATTTTCCCACTCATAAAGATATCTTCAGCTGGAATGCCAGCACATTTCCACATCTATTTGACAGGCAAACAGTCTATGAAATATACATAAAATTAAATAAAAATTAAATAAAACAGGACAGTAAAACAAAGGCTTAAAAATCTGATTACGGTGAAAGATTGGATTTTTTTTCAGTAATTATAAAATTGCGTATGTGAGAGAAAAAAAGAATTCACAGCTCAAGAGAAATCTCAAAGATCAAGGATGTGGAGATTTCTCTAAACTGTTAAATATTTCAGTCATACGTATACAGTCTTTGAAAATAGAGAAATCTTGTAGTTATGATTGATTGAAGTAACTGATTATCCACAGATATTTTAAGTGTTGAGACATTAAATTGTCAGCCGTATCAGTTTGATTGCAGTAAAACATGAAAACATTTACTTTTGTCTGGTTAGAGAAATTTATTTTTCCCAGAATGACAATCGTTTAAGTAGAAACCAGGCAGCTTGCCAGCTCTCCATGTCATACATTTGAAGTTTGTAAAAGCAACCATATTTTCAAAAGTTTTTCAAGGTCCAACGTGTGCTTCAGAGGTCTTGGGCAAATAATCTTGTAATAAACAGATTTCTGTGTACTGCTTTGATCTCCCTTAAGCCTGGTATAGATTAGTATTTATTCATTACAAACCAATGAATGGTAGAGACAATGGTTTGCATTCAAGGTGTATACATATTCAGAGCTCCTCAATTATGTAAAACATTTCCATTAAAAACCGG